GCCAAGCTAAATCCAAAAATGCTAGGGAATTTCTGGAAGTTTGACATTCAGATAAATCAGCCATCAATAGACACAAAGAGATAAACCACATGTACACACCATTCAAAAGAGACAATAAAAAAGCTAAGAAGGAAACAAAAAACCCAGAACACATCCTCTCCAGCAGCAAACACCCAGATAACTAGGGATTAGCACCAGACAAACAAGCAAGCAAGTAGAAAACAATACCCTAATCAAGGAACTACCAAGGAGAAAACCACACCTCCACCCAATACTGGCAGGGTGTATATAAACAGGGAGCAAACCCCACACTCAGTAGCACTGATGATGTTACCTAGTTGGGTAATGAAACATCCAAGCAAACAACCAAGTTCAAAGAGCCCAAGGACTCCAAGATCTCATAAACTAGTCACAGAAGACCTGAAGGAAAAAGTTGGGGACAGATCCTTCTGGAGAAAAATCTATCTGTGATCTCACTGATATGTGTAGTTACAACCCAGGATTTTGTTTTGAAGGATGCAGTCAGAAAAAAAGGGTTAGGGTTAGGGTTACATTTCATATATGTATATGTGTATTTTTATGAAAATGATCAACTTACCTTTTGTAAAATGGATATTTTATCAGATTTTGTGGGGCAAATACTATATGCTTTTGACATTCAATCCCAGTTTTGTCCTGTACTCAGACAAAATAACTTATTTTGTTATTAGTAACTTATTTCTAATCACTATAGTATGTTTTCTGTTAAGTAAGTGTTTCTTCTGCTTGTTTCTTTCTTCTTGAACAAGTTACTTTTCTTTTAGCTTCACAACTTTGCATCTGTAAAATGGGTGTTTGGTGTGGATTCCCACACATACTATGGAAACTATTTTAAAAAAATATCCAAGATACCTTCTCAAATTGTTAAACGTGCTATATGAACCAAAGGATTGAAATCCACATAGTTTTTCCCTGTTCTCTTCATAAAAGCCATGTCTGTATTTAAAGATATGTTAGAAAAACATGCTTTTTCTAAAGCCTCTTATCTGCTATATAGGAAATGGCAGATTGTGCATTATTTTTGTCCCTTCGTTTTTATGTACCAGTTGTAATACCAAGATGCTTCCATAGACTCAATTTTGGAAACTGACTAAAGGGCTGAACACGAAAGATAATCTTTGCAATTTACAGCAGCAAACATCTGTGTTCAGTCCAATGACTTTTTAGAGAAGAGAAAAACAACAGTGGTTCTGTAACTTCATGTTATAGGTCACAGCTATATGATAGAAACCCAACAAGTTTCAAAGAGCTCTGGTATATTTTTAAACATTTAATTCCCCAAAGGTTTATTAATGCCTGTATTAATAAGAATTTTTTTCTTTCTTGAAGACGTGGGTGAGATTTTAAATGTTCTTTTGTATATAACTGCTGCCTACTGTCTAAATGCATAATAAGAAAACTGTTAGATTTTACTGTTGGAAGATTACTGTAAAAATTAAGTAAAAATAAAATTAAAATACAATTACATTTTTTAATAGTGTGGTTTTACTTTGCATGCTTTGGGTCCAAACAACTGAGAACCTGGTAAAATACTTTATTCATTTTTAAAACTATGCAAAAGAAGAAGGTTCCTAAACTATAAAACAAAACAAATGCTATTGCATATAAAATGTCACTTCAGGAGTTAATTTAAAAGCTCTCTGTTATGATTAGTATGTATTTAATATAAACTTATCAGTTAAAATTTAACCTGAGTCAAACTGAAATTTTATTTAACTAATTTCCCTGTAAAGCCTAGGATTGAATATTTCAGTAAGACTTAATGCAGTTTGGTAAGTTTTGGCTCAAAGTGATGTGTGAGACCAGCCATTTTATTTTTATAGCACAACATATGGCTTACCTTATCCGTGGGCCCTCAGTATTCAAAACGGCCATCTTGGAGAAAGCAGACAATAAATTAAGATAAAAATAAGATAAAATAAAATTAGTCACTGTTGTTGGGACTGTAAAGAAAATTCAAAGGGCATGTTTAATCAACATCTTCTCTCTTTTTTAAAGGTAATCAAATGGATAATACTGTGAAGGATATTACAGATGAATTCAGTCTGCGTGATACAATAAGCATTGGATCAACAGATTCATTTGTCTCAGCTGCTGAGGTATACTGAAGCAACATTTGCTGTCCTATTGCATTAACTATCACATATCTGAAATCTTGTACTGAATTAATTGATGGCTTTTGCTGGTCTTTAATTAAATCTCTTAGAACAAAATGTCTTAGACAAATGTATACAGATTTGCAGGTATGTGAAGATTAATTGTGACTGCCTGACACTTAAAACACTATAAATACACATGACAATTATGAACAGATGAAATGAAATATTCAGAGATGCACCACCTGAATGCTTCTTCACTTGCTTTCCATGTAGAAAAGCGTATGTCTGTGTGGATAAAGTGACAGATTATGAAAGTTTCCATAAATTCATGGGAAAGATTAAATGCCCATTGAATTCTAGTAACTTTTTCAATAAAAACATTCCAAGAAAAATGATGGTTTTGGAAGTTCCTAGATGATCATGCATTGGAGTTGTAGTGTTTATTTCCCTGAAAGACATATTCTTAGTCTGGGACAGCTGTAAATTAGATTTCATCTGTCATTTATTCTATAATGGAACAATAATTTAAAAGTATAGATTTACTTACTGGATTATTATGAAAGGGGTGATTTTAAAGGACAGTGTTAATTACAGTATTATTTGCTCATCTTAAGGCTGATTGTGACTTGTTCAACAACTCTTGGTTAAAAAAACCTGTTTTAGGGTTAAATGGAAACATATATTACTGTAATTTTAGTTTCTTGAAAATTAATATTCTGCCCTTAAAAGTAGCTTGCAAACTATTACCTACTGCAGAATATGATATCTAACTTGAGTAAGCAGGTCTTCTTATTGAGCAGATACAATATTATATGAAAGCTCTCCATTGGCTGCCAATTAGCTATTGAACCATGGCCCAGGAAGTTATTGTTCATTTATATATCTGTATAGCCCTGAACCAGGTTATCTGTGAAACTGCTTTCTTCTATAGGCCCACCTAGTTATTAAGTCCTTCAGATGTTATCTTGTTAGCATAGCTTGATAATATAAACATAATAGGGATGTGGCAGAAGGCATTCTCTCCTGGAGTGCTTTAAATGTGGAATGAGTGATTAACAGAATACCACTGAGGGGCTTCTCCCCCAAATCAAGTACTTAGTCATCTGGCTATTTTTGACCACCAAATTGCTAAGCTTAATAATGGTTATAATGTATTATGGTTTTTACTTTTTATAGGTGGATTTTATTATATTTTATTGCATTACATTGCTATCCTGGAATATATTTTTGGAATTTATTTATTAAAAGGTTTTGGTACTTTTCTTTACAATAAAAAGAATCCCTCCCTTTCCAGTTATGCAATTAAAGATACAAAACAATAAATTGTTATTTTCCCCATTTCTTTGTCCCATCCCTTCTTATGAACACTTAAGTGTTTTATATGACTTTGGAGTTTTGAGATATATAAGTTTAAATTATATTTATATTTAATTTAATTATTTTAATTTAATTATTTATTTAAATTATATTTGTGGTACCAGTTCTGAGTTCATTCTGCCACTCATTCAGTGGCAATAAGAGCAACAAAGCATCACTTCTTTTCTGCATTTATTGTGTCTACATATCCCCAACCAGTAGCCCTATTTAGGGTAGCCCAGATCCTATTGGGGAAGGATGGGTGGGACATGATGCAGATAAGCTATGTGGATGAATATATGGGTTTCCTTGAAGATAAAGCTGCTTGTATTTGCTCTGGTTTGGACACCAGTTGAGTCAAGTGAATGACCAAGGTATTATCTTGTGATATAATATGGAATTATGTCAACATTGTCAGGCCCAAGAAAATGGATAAGGTTGTCTGCAATATGAATTCTGCCACCTATGGGCTAGGACCATGACTCTCCTGGGTCCTTTGGGCAACTGGGTAGGGCATGTGCTGCTAGATTTTGGAGGTTGTGAATGCTTCTTTAAGGAAGGTGTGCTGCTGCTTGTCTTGGGAAGATGCAGTGATGCACTCTCTGGAAGAAGCTATTTCTTGATCTGGCTGTAACTGATAACATTCGCCTTTACTCCAATCTTCCTTTTTTAAAATAAAGTTGTTGAGACGGTAGTTGAGATTCAACTCCAGAGAGTTCTAGAAGAAATAAATTATCTAGATACCTTTTAGTTGGGATTCAGGCCTGGTAATGGGATGCAAAAAGGATTGGTTGTTCTGGCAGATGACGTTCTTTGGGGCCTTGATGGGGAGAGAATGCACCCCCTGGACTTTTTAGGGCTCTTGGTAGTATTTGATACCTTCAACAATTATATCCTTCTGGACTACCAGCAATGGTTGGGAGAAAGAGGCATTTTTGTGGTAGTTCCATTAAAGAAGCATTTTTGTAGTAGTTTTGTTCCTACCTGAGTGGGCTATTCCAGTCAATAGTTATGGGAGTAAGCAGTTGAATCCATGGCTGCACTAGTGCGGATCCTAAAGAACTTGGCCTTTCTCTACTGTATTTAGTATCTATATGAAACTCCTGAGATAGGTTATCTCTCGGTTTGTGTTGAGGTGTCACCAGTATACTGATGATACTCTGCCATACGTCACCATTGAAGGCCGAGCCAGAGATGCTATGGACATCCTGAAATGGTGTCTCAAGGCCATTAGGGATTGCATGGAATAAAACAAGCTGAAGCAAAACCTTACCAAGAAGGAGCTACTGTTGTTCAGTAAATATCACGACTATCCAATAATACTACCCTTGGTGGGATTGTGCTCACCCTTGAAAGAGCTAGTCCATGATCTGCGGATCCTCCTGGACTCACAGCTCCTGCTAAAGCAGCTGGTGGGAAGTTGTGGCCAAGGGACCTTTACCCAGCTCCACCTGATGAGCCAGTACTGCCCTGCCTGGGTCAGGAAACTATGTAATGGTGACCCATGTCCTGATCACCTCCCATCTGGACTACTGTAGTGTACTGTATGTGGAGTTTTGTCTGAAGGTGGTATAGAATCTGGTGTACAACATGTGAAAAACAGATTACTAATTGATACAAGTCATTCTTGAAAAATAGCACAATTGTGAAGTCACTGCATGGGCTACTGCTTAGCTTCCAGACTTAGTTCAAAGTGCTGATTTTCATCTATAAAGCCTTATATGCCCTAGCAAAGACTCCCTTATCAAGCATGATTCTGTCTGTCTGGTATCAAGAGAGGCCCTGCTAAGGGTCTCCTTTTCAGCTAAAGTAAAGAGAAGTATGGAACGGAAGGTAGGTTTTCTCGTGGAAAACTGCTCCAGAGATGTCCCAGGCGTTGAGTTTTCTTGTATCCCAGAAAGCTCTTAAAACTATTTGTTTCAATGAGCCTTTGGCTCTTAAGGAAATTGTGAACACCTATTTGATTGTGTGATTATTATTTATTATAATTATATATACAGTATATAATTATTGTGTGTGTGTGTGTGTGTTTTGTGATATACACTGCCCACAATCTTTTTTAATTAGGGTGGTTTATAAATATTGTTAAATAATAATAACAATAACCATATAATGGAATCAATATCATTAGAATGACAGCCATTAGGGATTTCTTGTTTTAGCCATACAAGCTATTTTTGTTGTCCAAGAATTTAATTTCCTGCATAATATACTATGTATGCATATTTCCCTGTTTTTAATTTCTCTTTGCTCTGCTGCTTTTACAAAGTGGTATATCTATGATCCAGCTGTTACCATAATTTTTCTTTCACATGTTTCTGTTTTCCCAGTGAAATTTAAAGTGATACTGAAAAGCAGATGTCTTTCAAAAGATTACACAGGTGTTGTGTTTATGAAAGTCTCTTGCTAATTAAAACTATTTTTTTAGCTTACAGAACACAAAGAGAGCCGAAACTATTATCACCTGGATTCACTTTGCCATTGCCCATTGTATGAAGAAGCTTTGCGCTTGGCAGAAGAGGGCAAGATTTATTCACGTGTCTTAAGGTGCTAAATATTTTACATTTTTTAAAATACTTACTGCAGAATTTCTAAAACATTATCAGAACTTATATTGACTGTTTCTAGATATGCTCTGCCTATCTGTGATTATGTCTGAAATATTCTTTATTTTGTGTGTAGGACTGAAATGTTGGAATGTTTGGGAGACAGTGACTTCCTTGCTAAGCTCCACTGTATTCGGCAAGCTTTTCAGGTAAAAGTGCATCAAACACATTTTAACTCATCTCTGTACTACGATGTATCCCTATGAAATTATGAAGTGGAGTACGATTTGTAACCAGGACCAGCCAAGTTACACAATCAGTATTGCGGGATTTTTGCAAGGTATTCTGTGTCATCTTTATCTGATACATACGCTGGAATCAGTAAAGCATATTGTATTCCATATATCACCCTAAAGGATACTAAATACTGTTCCATTTACATTTTTCTTAGTTATGCATTGATGCTTATCCTAACCTATTGCTGAACTGCAGCATGTATTATTGTAAGGCTGATTTGCCTGAGACTGGATTCCCTGAAATGTTATACTTTTTCTTTTTCAAAACCATGCTGAACTGGAGTTTAAAATGAATACAAAAATGCTATACTAGGGTGTTTACAAAGCTGGCTTAGTTTAGTAATCAGATGCTATTTGTAGTCACTGTCAGTTAATGTTTAAATTTAGTCATCTCCAAGGAAGTTTAAAACACTGGCACATTTGGGATAGGGTCTACCAATCTTCCCCTTTCCCAAGCACATGTGGGCTGTGTTTCCAGTCCTTAAGGATGAAGTCTCCAAGGCAGTGTTCCTGAACCTTAGCAACTTTATGTGGACTTCAACTCCCAGAATTCCCCAGACAGCCATGCTGGCTGGGTAATTCTGGGAGTTGAAGTCCACATACAGTATCTTAAAGTTGCTAAGGTTCAGAAACACTCTTCTAAGGATTTTATTATTGATTGCCAATTCTTTCTGCCGTGGTTCACATGATAACTTAGATACAGTATATGCTTATTCATGATTTCTTGACAAAATTATACTTGGCTCGGGTCACACACTGTGGTAAGCCATAAAATATAGACTATATAACACAGTGGCTATGTTCACGATTTCTTGACAAAATTATACTTGGCTCGGGTCACACACTGTGGTAAGCCATAAAATATAGACTATATAACACAGTGGCTATATTCACAAAACCAAGCAAATCACATTATGGCTTAGGGCATTGTGTGAACCCAGCCATAGATTCCATTCCCCTTTTTCATAAAGTAAGTTTACTCAGGAAGAAGATATTCAGTGAAATTTATCTCTTGGTTATCTCAGTGCAATAGAATCCAGAACTTAGATGGATTTGTACATTTGGTTTCAATTTTGAGTTGACATTTTTTACTCACTAATGCCTTTTTTAAAAAAACAGATCATTCTTTCAGACTCTACAAATCGAATATTTCTTGCTGAAAGTGGCAGAAGAATTTTATGTGCTTTAATTCTGAGAGCAAGAAAGGTAAACCTATTTCGTTTTAATAACTGATACAGTATATTGTAAAAAGTTTGACCATTTAGTTGCCCTTATAACATGACTTAAGAAACAAGTATTCCCATTTTCACACAGAGAACTGAATTGGAAAAGTAATATCCTGCTTTTAAGATTATAAAGTTGGTCTATTTGTGGCAGTGAATTTTCATATGAGTTTATGGATATACATTTTATATTTCCCAAATGTATCGTTTTACATGTACATAGATCTAATTTTCTGGAACAGGTATACAAAGTCAGACATCAGAATATGCCTTGTAGTGGGGATAGTCTTTTTATTTCTAGATTACCCTTTGTGCTACAAATAAACAGTGATGTCAACTTTAAGGCAAGGATGAAAGAGTCCATATAATGTGCAAATTATTTGTTCAGAGTTTTCTGTTTTCTTTTACAGAATCCAAAGAAATTTGAGGAAGTATTTGATGACATGATCTCTTTTTTAGAGCAATCAGATCAGTGGGTTCATACTGAAATGGAGTTGGCTGCTTATGGGGTAAATATAGTGTTACTCTCTGCTTTCAATTAAGTGTTTGCTGTCTCTTTTTTGCCCTAGATAACAGTAGTTTCCTTACTGAACTTTATTTTGTTTGTATTTCAGGAACTCTATTATTTTAATCTGGTTTATTTATTATTTTATATTTACTAAGTTTGATTAAACAGCTTATTTAAAAATATCACAATGATTTTTCAGTGTAATTTATAGCATGAAGTTGTTAATGATTTTTCCTTTCTATAAATGTGCTTAGTACCTTTTTTTAAATTTGATTCTCATGTAGGTGAAACACTTAAATTTTTACGATGTTGTTTTGGACTTCATATTAATGGATTCTTTTGAAGACTTAGAGAATCCACCTATATCTATACAAAATATAGTTAATAACCATTGGCTGAACTCCTCCTTCAAAGAAACTGTAAGTCCATAATTATTTCATTCTGTTTCAGTAGTACCATTAACTGGTAGGAAAGATCAGGTCCAGGTATTAACATCAGTCTGGGACCCAGTTTTCTACACAAGTATTTTTCAGCTTTTTGAAATATGGATAAGAGGCAGTCTCTAAAGAGAGAGATGCCAAAAGGAGTTTGCCTCTTTGAGAAAGCACTTTAGGCAGAATGAAGAGTGATGGTACTCCATTACATTGAGAAAGGAAATGAGATATGATACCCTTGGATCCCCCTAGATAAGAGTTGGAGTGTATTGGCCCCAGGTAAGATGGGACATATTTTGAATGAAAGCTCATTATGGTGTTTTCCTTTGCTTATGTAATGTTTTGGAAATTGCTATGGTTATGCTATCTTAGTTGATTTAAGTCTCTGATTTTATTCATAATTTAGGCCAGATTTTTATAGTTATGTGCCAAGTATGAAGGAGTATAACACTCAATAATTTGATATGCCACATGTGAAGAAATGCCATTAGCATCTTATGTGATGGTCTAACTAACTGTTTCTATTCTATTTCTTGTTAGGTTCCAGGTCAGTTAATATCTTCCTCACTCCTGATTAAAGTGTGAGTTAGGATGTATGTAAAACCAAGACCAGAACTGGGTATAATCAGCCTTTCCCAATATCCTATTCAGCATCAGATCAGGTTAGAGGGTTAGGTTAGGGTTAGGGTTAGGGTTAGGGTTAGGGTTAGGCAGGATAAGCAGCCACCCAGTTACCTCCTGTTGCTGATGGAGGGAATCTTAAATTTGGATGCTGATAGCCATATTTTAATGATTGGATACAGAACAGCTAAGGATGCTATGTAATGGTATGTGGGAATGACCTTGGGAGACAGGGCAGACAGATGCAGCCAAGGGAATGGTCAGTTAAAAGGCAGCTGAGCCCACAGCAGGAATGTGGGTGGGGCAAGAGGCTCAGAAGAGACCCTCCCTAGTTTCTTGGGTTGTAAAGGAGATGGGGGAATGATATACTTTCAGACTTGCAAGATTCTATTAATGTAGCATTACAATAAAGTAGAATTAGCTCATCTGGTTGTGTTTCCTGTCTGGTCTAACTCATAAGGCTGACATACTATTACCTTCATGGCAACCATGGTCCTCTCTCTATATATCATCAAGATGACATCTTTATGTCCCACACTTTAGATTTTACTTTATGCCCACACTTTAGATTTTACTTTCTCAGTTGAACAGGAAGTTAGTACTGTGAAGATGTCAGATCTGATATCTGTTGTTTTATCAAAACAGTTCATTTGAGATTTAGGAGTGCAATAAATAGTCTACTAAAGGATGTAAGTATCATTAGAATAGTTTGTCCTTGAAAATTGAGGATTTCTGGTGGATTCCAGATGGCTTTGGGGAATTTGCAAGCTACTATGGCTGGGGCTGATGTTGAAATTCTGGTTATTCTGTGGAGTTTAAAAATGACCCAGGCAGTTAGTACAATCACTTCTGAATGTGCCGTCCCATTTTCCAGGCCCCATTCAACTTCTTGATAGATAGCTGAAGAGGGCAAAGTAATACACTGGGAAACAGATGGAATATATATTGAAAGAAAACTCTTTTTGGATTTGATTAAGCTCACTATTGAGTCTATTTTGTGGGACTGATGGAAATCAAAAATAATTTTTATTCTTTAGCCAGCTTCAGTTCTCTCAATGTTGTCCATATTTTGGGTTTTAGCTCAAATGGAAGAGCTGCTAAAATTTTTGGTAGCATATTGCAACATGTCAGCAAGACATATTTGAGAACATAATTGCTTGCAGTCATTATAGCTTAGATTCCACAGTACATACATTACAATTTGGAATGTCCAAATTGTTGCATGTTGCAGTTTTAAGGGACCAAGGATATGGACAATGAGTATGGTCAAGTTTGTCTGGCATTTTTGTGGCCCTGCCCCTTGTCTTTCCTGGCTTATTATAGCTAGGCAAATTATGATCAGTGAGTCTGTGAGATCATAGATTCCTCTTTAAGAGATGGAGTATTCCAATCCCGTTAAGGAACGTAGTAGTGCCATCTCTTCTAAGAGAGCCATCATCAGATGCGGATAATCATAATAATTATAGACCACTGGTTAACATTTCCTTTCTTGGCAAAGTGCTTGAGTATGTTGTAGTCCCTCAGGATTCTTTCTTATCCTCCATCCTATTTATTATTTTCACAAAACCAATTAGTTGAAGTTACTAGGAGATTTACAGATTACTATCTCTGGTGCATTGATGGTATATTTCATGTTCATAGATATGAAGGCACTTTGTAGTTCCATCTTTTTCATTAGGGGTATACCTTTCTGCCTTTTAACATTGTTGGTTGGTATTCAAGCAACCAATCTATATGGATAGAGATTGCTTGGCTTCAGTGATCCATTCTTTAATGATCTCTCACTGCAAATATTACAAGGCATTATATATGAGGCTGCCTTTGGAGATTGTCCACAAACTGCAGATGTACAAGCCATGGCATCAAGAATGCTGACTGGAACTTGGTGTTCCAGTCACAGTGAATCATCACTGGCTTTTGGCCATTTCTGGATCCAATTCTAAGTTCTGTTTTTAAATCCTTCACAGCATCTTCATACACATATCTGTGCTCTAATATAGTCAGCAGAGGTCCAAACATCACCATGTACAAACATGTGGGTATTACCTTCAAAAGTGGGCCATACGTTAGATTATGTTAGCACTTCAGCTTCTCTATCTGTGAATTTTGTCTCCATTTTCTTTTTATTCTATAATACATTTCTTTGCCTCTCAGCTTTCATGGTATACAGTATATCTCTATCTTGGAAGCAGGTCTGACCTGCCATTATTATCCATTCATACCTTTCTGTGCCAATCTAGCACCCTCTGCTTTCCTATCCCTGTTGTTTCCTTTTTGTCTTTCCTCTGTTTCAGAGAATATATGTGCACCTTTCCTTTCTCCTCACCTGGACCTCTGCTCTTCAGTTCTTTCTGTGCTATCTGTACTGAATAGGGAATTTAATTGTCTCCGTAGTAGACTAGAAGAACAATTGTGAGCTTCACTGTGTTCTCTCTCTAATTCCAGGAAAACAAACAATAGATATCCTATATATTTTCTTCCTTTCCTATTTCTTTTGACCAGACTGGCTAAGTCAGTTTTCTGCACAAAGATCTAGAAAAGGATGGGAGACAGTGGCTATTTGGAATTCTCTGAGAGGATCATTAGCAGGTCATGCATCTTATAGTGCACAAGGTTTCATTCTGTTGTGAATCGTTTTACTTTCTTTTATTATATATTTTGTGAATGCCTAAACTGGTTTTTGCCAGTAGCATTTTACTTCCTAGTACTTAGAAAGTTGTATTACATTCCATTAAAATTCTGCTATGTCCTATGGGAAATAAAAGTCTAGGTTTGCCATCTGTATATTGTATGATTCCAATCCTTATTAGGACAAAACTGCTTAGCTGTGTCAAAAACTATTTAAGCTATGCTTTTTCTTAGAATAGTTTTTTTTTTTTTACAATACAGTCAAAACAAAAGAATGTGGTTTTATTTTTTATGGTTGCAGATAGTTCTGGTTTTGAAACATAGTTTCACATAAATATGTAGCTTTCATTTAAGCACTGACATTAATAAAACATTTTTTAAAAAAATTATTAACTGCTGCATAACTTGATATAAAAGCCATATGCTTCAGAAGATGTTTCCAAAACATTCCGTTTTCCTAAATAAGAAATAGTATAGCATGGCTGGGTATCTGGAATTGGAACAGTTAAGACTGCTCTAGTAGTGGGCGTTATTAATTCTAGTATTGATGAGTTAATGCTGATTAAGGAATGAGTTTAACAAGAAGCAAATTAAAAGGCATAGTTATGTACAAACTGTGTAATATTTTAATTTGAAAGTAAAGAACAAAGTTCCTAATCTTTTATTAACATCGAGATAGATATATTTGGGCAGGTCCTGTGCGTTGTTTAGAAATCATTATTTCTGCTTGGTATACTGAAACTTTCCGTGGTATTGAAAAACTGGCTTTAGAACAGTTGCACTTTGTCAGTTGGACCATGCTTCTTTTAACCAGCCTCCTGTCCTTCACAAACACTTAGATCCAGATGCTCAAGGTATATAGCACAGCTCAGTTCACTAGGAGGTGGTAAGCAGTGGATATTTCCACAAGAAAATAATTGTGGTATCAGAGGGATAATAAAGAATGATTACATAGTTGTAATATCGCACTGTTATGATCTTATTTAATTTCCCCTGATGGCACAGCAAAATAATATTTCTTTGCAAAAACCTGTCTGAATCGGAACTCTTTTGAATGCACCGACATATCATTTTCCATACAGTCCCCAAACAGAAATTATTTGAGGTGTTGCAGGTACAGTAGTACAAGCCTCGTATACTGCTTAGGTCCTCATTTCTGTTTGTTCAGTTTGTTTTGTTCTCTGTTGTGCTAAAGCTCATTAACGTACTCTGTCAATAGAGGTATTCTTCTTTCCATATTTGACTTGAACAGGTACCTCTGGCTTCCTCCTTGCTTTTATCATACTCTTATCTTTTTCTCATAAACAGTATGCAGTATTAATTCATTTATCATATATACAGTATTCTTCTGGTTTCCCATAATAAGAGCTTGTCAAACAAATATTTCCTGGATTTGTGTTGTTCAGTTTATATTTGGGAAAAAAGTGTTCAGGAGGAAAAATACTTAGAATAGATCTGTGCAGTAGAATGAAATGTGTGGATAGGAAAAATTAAGGACTAAAATAAATGAATCTGATATTTACAGATGACAAAAATGCTGCTCAGGAGGCATGCTGCTGCTTTCTCCTTTTTAAGCACCACTCATGCGCTTTCCAATGTGTGTGCTTTCCCACAGGTGCATGTTATTATTGCACGTGGCCGGTGTGATTCCGTTGCATGGGTTGTGTGGCTTTTTCTCACCCAGTCGATGTTGAATGAGGTGTGTGACAGAGTCCCGTGCGGCTACAGTACTCAAACACATAATGAACACGCGTGCACAACATGTCATCTGAGTCAGGCTGGTTGCTGGTTAACACGTACAACACCATATTACCCCGATCTTGTGATTTCTTAACCAAAGTTGGTGTATTTTTGTGAAGTTAGCCACAAACCCAGCTCTGCTTTTCATAACCAGAATTTGAAACCAATAATTAACCTGGGACGGCTGCTCACTGAAAACGGTTAGCCCCAGATTCAGATGACACTTAACCACAGGAAAGTCATTGTTCATATTTTTATATTTTATTTATTTTATATTTCAGATTTGGTCACAGCCCATCTCACTAGGAAATTGTTATTAAAGAACCATGTTAGATACAGGAAGGATGTCAGTGCATGCATTTCCAGTTAGTTAACCAGAGTGACCTGATTTCTGGTACAAACTTTTTCTGGCCTTGCCATGGATATTACTAGATAGTGACTGTACATAAAACTTCCTATTCAGCATGCAGAAATACTTTTCAGCTTGTAAATTCTATTATGCGCCTTTGTAGTTTTAGATCAGATTATAAATACTTACTGCTTCCACAACAGTACAATTAGACTGTTAATCACTAAGTTACATTAACATTTAGGAAAAACTGCTAAGCTGCATGGGGACAGTAGGGAAAATGAGATGTAAATCCCATGTTTTGAGAAATAAATAATATGCATTTTGTAAAATGGTTCAAATTTATATTATTGCAAGTTCAATATATTTTAAAGTTAGGTCGAATGACTTTATAATTTCGCTGTTATTTCTACATAGAGAATATTTCATGTTTGCAAGTAAATAAAACAAAAAAAAAATCTTACTTAGGCTGTGGCTTCAAGTTGCTGGTCAGTCCTGAAGCAAAAAAAGCAGCAAATGAAAGTAAGTAACCTGAACATTTTATATTTGAAGAGAGCTGTGCAGTGCTATAAATTTGGTTTGCAATGTCAGTTGCTTATTCAAGACAATTGTAGACTGTTTAGCATTATTTGGGAGTAACCTATAGCATAATGGTAAATTATTGACTTCAGAACTATGAATAAAAAGATAGTAGTGCATATTCCTGAACCATTTTTAATGCAGTTTATCATATCTGAAATGACAAATGAATGATATGCAAAAGTAGTAATTGTTTCACTACAGTTAGTGAAAGCTGGCTGAAAATTGAGGGAATGGTTTAGGAGTAGTTGCATTATATTTTTCACACTTGTATAAAGTAAATGCTCTTCAGATAATAGCAAGACATTTTGAAATGTTAATATATAAGTATAAAGAACCAATAAAATACATTTTAATCCATACTTCTCAAAACAAGAGCAGTGATCTCTGAAAAATTAGAATGAGTTACCCTAATTCATACCCTGATGTTTATATGTCCAGACAGTCTGTGTGTGTGTGTGTGTGTGTGTGTGTGTGTGTAAAAATATAGAATGAAAATTTCGACAGAACCAACTTAGGGTACATCTTTGTTCTCAAGGTTATTGAATTATCATTCAGTATAAATGCAGGCCTGAATACCATGGACATGCAGGCATGCAGCAGACCAACTTTCACCTGCAATTTGCAATTTGATCACTTACATCAAATCATCAATTCCCACACCACCCTATTCTCTGATTCAGTAGATATTCCTGAATAATGGGCACCCATCCATCTAGTCAGTCCATTAAAACAAGGCTGTGTGGTATCCTATACTAAAACTGAAGACTACTGTATCTTTTTTTGATAAATTAAGGTAGTCCTCACTTAATGACCATTTGTTTAACAATGGTTCAAAGTTGCAATGGCCTCAGAAAAAGTGCTTTATGACCTGTACTCACACTTATGACCATCGCAAACTGTCACACCATCCCCTGTGGTCACATGATTGTGATTTGCGACCTTTTTACAAGTCATTAAGCAAAACGTGGTTGTTAAGCGAATTCCAGCAAAAAAATCTGTTGGAGAAGCTGGATTCATTTAACGACCACATGATTTGCTTAATGACTGTGGTGATTCATTTAACAACCATGGTAAAAATGATCATAAAATCGGGTCCGGTCATGTGGTGAATCAGTTAATGACCGCCCCACTTAATGACCAATTTTCCGGTCCCTATTGTGGCCATTAAGTGAGAACTATCTGTACTGTTAACCCTTACATATAACTTCTCAGAAGTAAGGGCTATTCAGCTTAATGAGTTTGATAAGATTGAGCTTTAAGGTTGCAACCTAATGAGCGTTTACTTAGATGGAAGCTTCATGTGGCCTCTAGCTGAATTTGGGTGATCTCCAAAAATACTAAGCAAGATCAAGCCTGGTTACTATTTGGGAAAGAGACTACTGGGGCTGTAGAAAGTTTTTACAAAATCACAGAAGAAGGAAGTGGCAAACCACTTCATGGGCATGTCCATATGGCCTCCAGGAGTTGATTTTAAGTTTATCAGATTGCAGGTTTAATGATGTCAAAATTGTTTGTGCTCAAGATGCAGGATATGATTTGCCTTTTCTGTACTAATTACATCTTCAGGTTCCTGATGGTTTCTTTGCACGTTTCTATGCTATTTGTGAACACATTAGCCCTGTTCTGGCATGGGGCTTTTTGGGTCCTAGAAATTCACTGTATGAATTATGCAGTTACTTCAAGGTATGTGGCTTTATTTTATCAAGAGCTTACTGGATACCAATGAAAATATGGACAAACTAGTAAAAGTTTTTGCTAGACATCCTGTAGACTACAGCTAATAACTAGAATTATTTTGCATTTATTTTTACTAGGATCAGATTCTTTATTTCCTGAAAGACATTTTTGACTTTGAAAAAGTGCGATACTCATCAGTGGATAATTTAGCTGAAGACCTTCTGCAATTGCTAATTCGGCATACTAATCTTTTATTGGTTTACTTTGGAGTAAGTGGATGTCAGCACCCAACAGCCAGTGACCTTTCAGAGGGAAAAGTACAATAGATTTCTGTTTTTGTTCTTAATGTGAGCATATTTTTTGCCTTTTTCTCCCACAAGGAAAGTTAACATTGTTTCTTTCTGAGCAATTATCCCAAAATATACGATGTTGTTAAATATGGCCTCAGGGAGGTTTAAAAATATACAAATCATTGCTTAAATTATTGCTGTACATATCATTTAAAATGGTATTTCAACTGTCATTGGATTTATTTTTAATATATATTTTTAAACTGTTAAGTAAATATTATTTATGGAGATATATACATTGCTCAGATCTGTTTGTGATGAAAGTGATACAAAAATATATGTTATAGTAAATTAGTTCCTCCCAGGTTTACATTGTATAAATTACATAATACAAAATCTCAAAAGCTCTACCTGTTCATGTGCTTGCCAAGATTTGCACCTTTTTTGTCTTAACTAATGTGCAATAAAAACACATACAGTGACAAATGATACAGTTTTTGTGTTTTAAGCTATCAATTATAGTGTAACAAGTGTATCAATGCATTCAGCCTTTGGACACATTCTATGAGCACTGTTGTAAAATTTAAGAGTTAATATTTAGTTTTTATATAAATTACTTTTCATGATGTTTTACGTTGGTTGTACTGCATAAAATCAGAGTCTGGCAAACCCTCAACAGTCATTTTGAGTAGTTAATAAGCTCCACTGTATTTATTTATTTAGTAAATTTATAGCCTGCCCATCTTAAATACAGGACTCTTTGCAGAGCTTTTAAATTTTTATACTTATTGTGAATAAGATCTTGTCTTATTGAATCTATTATTTAAAGAATATTTTTAAGGGGGAAGATGTATATCAAAAAGAATAATACAGTACAACAAGGGTAAATACATGTTCCATTATCATTTTAAATATGTTTGTCTCTTTAAAAAAACAACAGGGATGCCAAATGAATACCTTTAAAGTCTAGTTTGTATGTCATGATGAGTTTTGTGTTAGCGTGGTTTATTGTATAATCCACAATTGATTGAGTATATGAAGCTTATGAAGCTATAAGACATGGTTTATTAAGCACAATGGCCAGATTCACACAATACATCAACCCACACCAACCCTTAATTAAACAAACCACATTTTCCTTTAGAAGGATAAGTGACCCTAAATGCATGCTCTGATTGCTCTGCAAAGCAGCACTAATCCTAGCATTCAGCCAGGAAACTTAAACCTAGCTGTTTTCCCCTAGCTTCATACATGCATACTGTAGATGCTTAGGCATTTATATTGTAAAAGTCTGTTGGATTGGATTTGCAAGAAATCCCTTGTCATGCTAGCAGATGGAGCCAGTTCTGCCTGGTAATTCTAGTCCCTGCTCATGTTCAAAATCATTCTGTCACAAAAATTAAGCAGGCTGAGCCTCTTGATTTGAAACAGATTCGAGCACTGAGATACCTCTTCAGTTGAGTGCATCTGTATGTTATTCATTTTCTGCATATTTATTGTTTTATATATTTTTGTTATATAGACATGGAGAATGATATTCACTTGCATAAAGAATCATTTAGTGTAAACCAGACAGCACATAAAGGTCATAAGATATTGTAGCTGGCCCCAAAAAGTGAATATATGATATCAGGAAAAACGGTTATATGAGTTTTTGTATTCTGAGATACATATTAGTATTTCCAATATTCGTTTTCTGTCTACACAAAAGCAAATCAAGGTAAGTCAATCTCTTTTTCCAACTACAGCAGCTAGTAGACCTGGTATTCTTTTTCCAAAAATGTAAAATCTGAGTAAATAAATAAATAAATAACAGAATCCTGATGTTTGACTAGCAATATCTGAAAGGATGACAAGAAAGTGAAGATTTGATTGTCAGCTAATGGAGGCAGGGGCAGGAAAAACAAGTTTAAAAAAGTGATCCTGGCCTAAAAGACAGAAGAAAGCAAACCAAAGAGGTAGATCTGTGGAAGTTGAGGCCACTGAAGAGGAAAACGGGTCAAATTCCATGAAGCAGGAAAGGGAAGACAAGTCTGTCATTGAATGATAGCATATATTTATGGCATTGCTTATATATACACTTTGTGTACCATGACATCATGGTCAACGTATCACAAAGAGGGACACACAGTTCCTTCTTGGTTCATAGTACTTCAGTAATAAGAGAGTAGTAGGTATAACAGTTCAGGTCAGTAGCTTTCACTGAATCCTGGGACTGGTATTTCCTTTACTGTTCCACGTATTTAGGGCTGAACACATTGGCATGATGTTAGATTAGATGAGGTAGACTTAGAGTCAAATCCACATTCACATTTGGAAGTTCACTGACTGTCTTTGCACTAATCGCTATTTCTTAGCCCAGCCTACTTCACAGGGGTGTTGTGGGGATAAAACCGGATGAGGAGATGGAGTGTATTCCACTGCATTTCTGGAATAACTATAGGGTTAGTTATTCCAAAACAAATATCAGCATTAGAAATATAACGTGTCTGGTATCAGAGCACAAGAAAACAGATGATGTAAATCCTTGAATGAATAAACATTGCTATTAGTAAATAAACTTTGTGCTAGGTTTGGCCTATTTGTTTTATATGAGAAAGAAAACAGAAACCAGGTGGGGAACAGACTAATCTCATCCCATTCTCTCTTCAGGCAGAAGAAAAAGTAATAAAAATTCTTCCTAACCCATACTCTACAGACTGACTCAGAAGTAAATTACACTGACCCTAGATACTCATGCATTTATCTTACTAGATTGTTATAACTGTTTATGTGACAATAGGCTAATTTAACTACTCCATTACAGTGGGATAGTTTCATCAATCTGATGCTGACTGGACTTCATGCTATTATAATTATCTGGTAAGTTACTATTATTAGTTGCTTGCTCTGTGTAAGTTAGAGCTATAAAAAAGGCCACCAGCATCTCACCCTCATAACAGTTTCAGTTCACAAAAGTGAAGCTTGTCAGAGATTTATCATTGTCCTACAGAACTGTCATCCCCTCGATCTGGAATATTTGTATACTTGGAAGGAAAATACACACTTAAATCTAACAGTAAGTAATTTCCCCCCCCAAAATGTTTGGATCTAGCTGTATCTGTTTCAACAAAATGGTAGAACGAAAGTAAGCAGGGGTGACTTTGTGACTCTTATTGCATATTTGTATAAGAGGGGCTGATATGAGTTACTTAATTGGTATCAGATATTTTAGAAATCTATGTGCCGTCTCCAACCTGTGGTTTCCACTCACTAGGAATAATGGAAATTGTACCCCACATAATTTGAAGGGGAAACGTTGGGAAGAGGCTCTTTAGAGGACTGCCATTCCAAGGCTGAGGATGAGGACACGCTCAGCAAAGAGGAAACTTAATCAGAACTGATTGTCTCTCTCTCTCTCTCTCCCAATCTGGAAACAGAAAATATGGTTTAAAAGCCAATTTCTCCTGTTTCATTTGGTGGAGAATTTATAAAAAAGATGGTGGGGGGATAATCTTGAAACAAAGCTTGATTTTCTTTGACTTTTTGGACACGTCCTGTAATTTTTCTGGCAACAGTATCGAATTATTTTGCCATCGCTCGACAAAAAAAATGAGTTGGGAAGGGAAATGCACTTTGTATGTGCTCAGGACCCATCCTCCCGCGTTTAGACGACTGCTGACACTGAATGACTGATATCGGGCACAAATTATACCCCGGCCTCTTCCTCCCATCCCACTTTCTAACGTGCCCGGCGCGTGGAGAGATTCCTCATGGATTCGGTGGGTTGGGAAATTCTGCAGTCGCCGGGTATTTATAGCCTAACGGCGTTTTCAGCCCAAAATAATCCGGCTGGGCCGCTGAGGGGCCTCCGGAGGCGCGGCAAGGGCGCTGAGTGGGGGGAAGAGAGGAGGGGGCGGCCACCGTGTGTGTCGGGACAGCTGCAGCTCGGCCTGGGCGCGCTTGGAATGCAGGAGCGGGCTGCGCACCGGGACTTTTATGGAAACTTGCAGAGCCCGAGGCTGGAGCCGCAGCCAAGGGGCGCGCAGCACCAACGGTAGCAGCGGCAGAGACGCTCACCCAGCTACTCTCACGCCCACCCAGCCGCTTGGGATTAACGAAGACGCGCAGCGCAACGCTCCCAGGTACATCAAGATGGTTTTGTTGCGGGGGGAGGCGGGGAAGGGTGAGCGATTCGGGCACAAAGGACGGCCTGCACTCGTCTTTGACGCGCGTAGAGATGACAAGGCAGCGGGGAAATGGTGCGTGGCGGGGCGAAGGAACTGCGGCTCGGTCTTGAGGGACAGGACCCGGGGCACTTAGCTCGTGCGTCGGCTTTCTGCCTTTGGCATGTCCCTTGACGGGGCTACTTGCGTTGCGTCTCGGCCTTGATGAGGTGTTCGCGTGATAGATCAGACGGGTACCAGTGTTCTCTCACACACGCACACACGGTATTTACCGTTTTCTGCGCGGTCGAGAATGGCCTTTTTTTCCCCCTGGCGCCTTAGTTCGGTCGGCTGCTCCGGGTCTCCTCCGAAAAGCAGCCGCTCACGCCGTCTGGATTGCCTCCCCCACGAGCTTCCTTACTCATTCGTGCCGTCGAAAGAGCAACAGGCTCGGTCCCTCCCAGCAGTTTTATTTGGACGAAAGTTCCAGACGCCTCAACACGTTTAAAATCTTAGATGGTCAATAGGGGTATCGGAGAGGGCCAAGCTATTGTGCAACGGAATAACAGCCCGGGAAGAAAGTGTTCCTTTCAAGACATCTTGCACGGGGAAATAAAGCCAGATGTCGCTCATTTTCAAGCAGGGTTTTCTTATTCTGAATCTGAAACACGTGGCAAAGCTCCAGAACCTAGAATTTCCTGCAGAGAGATCCTTCTGCATTCAGGTCTTGTATTTTATACAGAAATGCGTTTCAGTTGATTTAAAATATTTTTCCCCATTCCAGGCAAATCAAAGTGGCAAACTCATGTCCTGGAGAGAGTATTATTGTATGTGGTTGTTTGCTTCCCAAATGTCAGTGTAAAGGAAGGTAGTGACTAAGGGAATGACAGCTAGGACGAAGGGGCTGCTAATACTAGGTGGTGATGATGGTGTCAGTTGTTAGTGGGAAGAGAGTAACGCCGTTCTGCTCTTATTATTGTAAATACAGAAACCTGTTCTTGGTGACAATAATCAGAATGGGGCTGCCGTCCAGAATTCCAAAAGTTTAACTGCTTCCATCAACTATGTACTTTTAATTTATACTGTATGGTAGAGTTGACCATTTTTGTACTGTAAAAGCAAAAAAAGAGAGAACAAGAAGCAGAAGGGTGCTACTATTTTTGCTTTATAAGTGGGATTTTTTAAAAAGCCTAAACTAGGAAACATAATATTTTTGCTAATGGAAAATATCTTTTTAAAGTCAGACAGAAGATAGTAAAAAAGAAGTACAGATCCTTACACACTAGATTTCATATTTGAAACAGGATATATGAAAGAATGTATGTGCAGAAATATGCATGCTCATTATATGCATGTTCTTTGATTTCGTTGACAGAGGGCTCTTCCTCATGTTCATGTTAATGCACATTCCTTCAGATCCTGAGTTGGCAGAAACATTTAGCTGTGCTCTAACTTGCTTCAGTAATGAGGCTGGTATTCTTCTTACTGGACAAGTCAAGAACAGAGATGGGTTGATTCCCCTGGCTGTGTTTCTTCTCCCTTGGCATTACTGGCCAGCATGAAAAAAGCCATCTATCATTGCCCTTAATGTGTGGTGGGGCAAAGTTGAGTTAGTGTGGTCTTGTGCCTGGGATGGAGTGTTTAACCACATAGTGAGTTGCCAGTGTGGAACTGCTACACAGCTGTGACTTGTCAGTCAGACCATTTCTGAACATGCATCTAACAGTCTTCTGAAAGAGCGTTAGACCCTTGTCCAAAAATAGTCTGGCTGACAGGTCAGTGACTCAGTGGAGGGCACGGGTTGAAGCAGAAGGGACCATGAGCACATCAGAAAAATTTCCTCCTGCTTATCTTGTTCCCCTCTCCTGGACCACCAATTTGTCTGCTGAGCTATTCTTGGACATGGGTTTAGTGTTTTTTCAGAAGAGTGCTAAATGCCTGTTCAAAAACAGTGTGACAGGTCACAGCTGTGGAGCATCTGGTAACTTGTCTCTTGGACAATTTGAAAGGTGGCTAAAACCTCCATCCCACTCATCTGCCCCAAAATTGTCCCACTACACATTAAAGAAGGCGATTAGTGGTTGTTTTTCCGGCTGGCTGGTGATGCTGTGGGAAGGGAAATATAGCCAAGCGAATCCACCAATTGCTGTCCTTGAGTTGCCCTGCAACAAAACTCTAAGGACAGCCTCATTCACTGGCCTTGTTACTAAGATTAGAGGGGCAGCATAATTCATACTGGCTGACTTTTGTGTCAGCTTAAGGAACTGGAGGAATGTGCATTAACAGCTGTGAGGAAGAGCCCTAAAACCGGAACTGATGAACCTGAATTTAAGCTGCCTCTGCAGTGGGCTGGGGATGAAACAGAGGCAATGTCATGAGAATATGTTTTTTTTAAAAGATGGTTAGTGAGGCATTTTTGTGCCATGTTTAGTGGGATGTAAAAATGAGCTCCTACAGTTTAATGCTTAATTACATTAACAAACAAAATATTACTCCTACATTTAATGCTTAATTACTTTAACAATGTATTTTACATTACTCTGAGGCATCTAAATAAGACAGAGATGGGGTATCTAAAGTGCTGTGTTTTATTTTATTTAATTTTGATGATATTTAAAAATATCAACATTTTAACTGTATTCATAACTGGAAATTGTGTACATCTGTAAGTCCTCTGCAGTATCTATGCCTCTATAAATGCTTAAACACCATTCTTTGAACTGCAGTGGACAAACCATTTGCTCAAAGTGGCAGTGTCTCAGTATTAAGATAATGGCATCCAGCCTTACAGGATTGCTGTAACAATTATTGAGATAATGCATTGAGAAAGTAAACTACTCTGTTAAACCTGTTAATTATTATAGTTATATATTCACTTGAACTATAATAAATAATAATACTATATATTCTTTTAAATACAGATTGGTTATTCTGATGTTATTTAGTCTGGCACTAGGTGCTAATTCAAATAAAAATACACACGGACACAAGGTTGTTGAACTAAATTTAATGTGCTGAATTAAAAATGTTCATTTTTCTGACTGCAGAATTGCTAGAGTAGAATTGCCGGTCTCCCATGGCTTCTGCCTGTCTGGTAAGATCAGGCAGAATCAGTGTGCCTCAGGTCCCTTCAATCAACAGTGCCATCTGTTGGGACCCAGGAACTGCGACTTTTCTGTCATATCACCTGCCCTTTGGAGCAATATCCCCCCAGATATCCATGTAGTTCCCACCCCAATGATGTTCCAGAAGGCTCTACAAACTTGGCTGTTCTCCCAGGCCTGAGGGTAGCGTGTTTATGGAGACTTGTTGGATATGTTTTCTATTTGCATGTATTTGTCTGGATGCATTGGATTTTCTTTTTATTGGTCCCTATTTGTAATATAACCCCCCCCCCCCCGAGTTGCTTTGGCAGCCTCTATATTTTGAAAATAAATAAATTGTTATGGAATGGGTTCCTGGCTTTGAGAGGTCTTTCTTCTCTCCTTGACTCAGGTCTTTCTCTGCTATGCTATATTGTGCTCAAGGATTGCTAGACCCAAATGAGCTTTTTAATAGATATATAATGGGCTGCAGGGTATGCAGTTCTGGAGATGGAAGGATTACCTCCAGTTCCAATTCTCCTTGAGGATTCTTGCTGCACTAGGGTAGGCAATGTAGTATCTGCAGATATTGCCTGTTCTAATGGAGAAGAGTTTCATCTTAGGATTCACTGACATTTGTGGATTTATAATTGCTTTTATGTATTTGAAACTCTCTGACCATAGAATACACAATGTAAAACTGGCCTTTGGCTGCCTAGCATATTAATTTCCTAGATGCTTTGTTTTCTACTTCTGGATTTTACCTGGATTCAGACATACTTAAGAAGTAAAGGTTGTAGGTAGCTGAAAGAACTGCACTTTGATTCATTTCCAGAAATTGGGACTCGGGCACTGTGCTTCTTTTTGATCCTTACCAGTTTGCTTTGTGTGAAATAAGTATTTTGTGACAAGTTTTGTTCACTATATTAGAAGTTTGGGGGTGACAGTTTCTTAAATTTCCCAGTGTGTCGATCTAAACAATTAGTCCTCTTAGAGATCTAGTTTTCCTAAGTATTCTGTTTCTCTTTCCAAGTGGTCTTCAAAGGCAGCCCCACAGAGGATCTATCACAGAAGTTCAAGAGAATGGTGATAGAGGTATGAGTCAATATAGGCAGACCCTCCTGCTCCAGGAAGGACCTCAAGTAGCATACCAGTTACAACTGGGCAAAGGCCCTCCTAGCCATGACCTCCACTTGTCATTCAGCAGTATTCATGAGTGTAGGAGGACCTTTGAGAGACAACAATGGAACCAACAAAGAAACATAAAGTACAAAGTACAAATAAAGTCTCACTTCAGTTCAGCTTTCACCTGTTTCATCCCATCTAGACCTCAACTTGATTCCAGAACACTGTTCTGTTGTGAATGGAAGTACCATGGCAAATAACTAAAAAGAAAACTTGTCACTTGTGTAAAACACCACAGTGAGGAGGAAAGAAAGGAATATTATTGGTTTTAGCAACTGACAGGTCTATTTAAATTCAGAATGATTCTAGTAATCCAACTGCCATCAGTGACCACAATCACAGTGTCTTGGATGGATGGTGAGATCATACAAGTGAAAGACACTAGTATTCTTTCTGGTGGCCAAAAAAATGGAGAAAAGGCAGGGCAGGGAGAAGCCATATTGTGGGTTTTAAGGATTATGTGAGTTTTGGGAAAGTCTGAGCAAGTGGTTTCTAAAGCACAAAGGTGAATATACACACATACGGTATAAGATACCTATGATGAGCTTGTTCTAGAATCAGACAAATTATCAGTTCAGCATAAGTGATACCATGGCTGCTATTAAGAGAATGAAACAAGATGGCACTTGAGAGAAGCATGTTAATAATCCAGCTTTCTCTCCTTTTGCACAGGACCAGTCTGTTCCCACTCTCTGCTGGCAGCAGGGCTGGCCTTGTGATGGAGGATGATGCAATCAGATACTTGTATGTCTCGCCTGTGTTTCAATTTTTTCTAGATGAGCTGTTCTCAGAAGGCCAGGCTAAAGACAGGAAGGGTACAACTAGGTATATCAGGAAAAGGTTGCAATCAGTGGTCACACTTCAACTACTAACACTTAGTAAAGGTGAGAAACACAACCTTGCAGGATAATCTTTTTTTTTTTTTAAATACTCAGAACCCTCTCAATGATATCAGAGCTTTCTTTTTCCAAATTATTCTGTGGAATTATAAAATGAATCGTGAAAGGCTGTATCTTTGGACCAACTGTAAGAACAAATCAAACTATTTTTAGAGTCCCAGGTCAAACAGTCTTTAGATAACACTATCTTTAAATCATATTGGAAAATGATTTCAGTTTAAATGATAAATACAGTATTGCTAATAGCAGCCTAAAATGTATTTAATGTCTTTTTTTAAATATAATTTTATTAAAGTTTACAAATACAAAGATAAAAGACTAATACAAACTAAGGAAAATATAAAAAATAAAAAGAAGTGTAAAGAGATAGAAAAAAGAAAGGGAAAGGGAAAAGAAGATATATAAAAGATTACTCCCTACTCCCTCTAAACAAGTATAAACAATTTCAGTAACTTAACACCTTCTCTAGTATTTCAATTAAAAAATATATTTTCTTCCATATCTCATCCTTTATCAATAATCAAATTCAATCCTAATCAGCAAAAGTTTAT